CCCCATATCCTCCTGAATCCCCCCACCACATCCTGAGAGAGTGAAGTTCTGGGTAAAGGTTGGAGGGGGTTCTTTGAGAGGGTGGGAGTGAGAGGAACCAGTTTCTAACCCCATTGGTGCCACGGTTTGGGGGACAGGAGAAGGGGCACCCCAGAGCGAGCCGTGTTCTCGAATAGGTGGGTGCCAGACCTACTGCTGTGACAGTCCTGTGGTAAAAGATTATATCTTACGTGTGTGTGACTTCTCAAGTCTGTATACTTTTTCATGTCTCAAATTTTTCTTTACAAGTGACATGTGAATAAGGGACATAGAGGGATGTGCATGTTGACAAATGCTTTTAATTAAATGTAAAACAGCAGAATAACCTTTCCAGCTGGGTGAAAATTGCAGTTGGGTCTCTTCCTCGTGTGTTGTTTCCTCCTGTGCAAGTCCCCGCCCCCTCCTCATCCCAGTAATATACCTTGTTCACAGGGGAGGGAGAGAAGCCTGTCCTCCACCCACCCACCCACCCTTCCATCTTCTTAAACCTTCTTCAAATATCTGAGCCCTTTTGCTGCACAACTTCATCCTCTCTGGGATGGAGAAGACTTGGCTGGCGGGGGGTGGGGGGGTTGAGTCCTTTCCATCCCCAAGTAAAGGAGGAACTTAACCTATAGCATAGGTTAAGAAGTGGAGAAGAGAGAGCAAAACAAATGGCTATCATAGGAAGATGTGATGGGAAAAGAGGGGCTATGTACCTAATTCTGCCACCGGTCAAAAGTGTTACTGGGGAAAATTAGTATTCGGTGGGATTGGCTTGTAGTTGATTCAGAAAGTGAGTGAGTGGTCAGCTTGTCTCCTTTTTCACCCAGCATAGGTTATGGATCCAAATCAAAGGGAGGGATATGGGGAGAGGGTAAGAGAGCAAGGGTGGCCAAACATGTTTAGCGTAAGAGCCACATAGAATAAACGTCAGATGTTTTGAGAGCCGCAAGACAAGAACAAATATCACACACATTTTTATCGGAAAATATGCAGATTTGCTTTTATTAATTAATTAATCATTAATCTCATTTGTACCCTGCCCTCCCTGAAAATTGATAACTTTAGATGGGGAGGGAGAGAGAGAGAGAGAAAGAAAGATGGAAAGAAAGTGGAAAGAAAGCAAATAGATGGGAGAGGGAGGGAGAGGTGGAAAGAAAGCAACTTTAATGTCGAATGCGTCCTCCAAGCGTCCTCCCACACTGGCTAGCTTGGCTTGGAGAAGGGGTTTAGAGAGACAAATGCTTTCTCCAAGCCAGCTGGTGGGGGGGGGCTGGGGGGGCTTTGAGAATGCATTTAAAGTTCAAGTTGCTGTCTTTCTCTGCACTGCCTGGGGAAGGGAAGACCGATTGGGGAGGCATACCTCCCCTTTGCTTCCCCAGCCACTGTAGCGGGAGTCGCATGTGGCTCCCGAGCCACAGTTTGGTCACCACTGTATTAGAGACTTCAGCCCTGAAACCTTGACAAGCCCCTCTGAATTGGAGAAAGATTCCACCACTCGGGTTTGTTTGTTTGGGGCTTTGGGAAATTGTCTGCTCTAGTGAAAAGGACAAGAACACTCTGTGGTGCTCACTCATCCTTGAAGTCTCTCTGTTTAATTTCAGCGGGGGAAAGACTCAATATTGACGCAAATGTTCACTATAACCAATATTTAAACCCACTTGGTTGATTTGGAAAATTCGGAAACATCAAGTTGGCGCAAATCTAACAGGACGATGGGGCTGTGGGAGAGATTAGTTGGGGGCGGGGTTTACAAATGGGTTGTTTTTTTTATGGAGGTGGGAATAGTGTTTGCCCCTAATAAGACTACTGCTGGATCAGACCAATGGTCCATCTAGTCCAGCATCCTGTTTCTGCCAGTGAGACGCCCCTGGGAAGCCCACTGCCAGCCATGAAAAGGATTCATCGTGTACTCTCCCCCCCCCACTGTCTGGCTGGAGGACATGTTTTACCATTTTTAGGCTAGCCATGAATGTGTCTGATCCTGGACTGGAGAGGCAGAAAGCAAAGAACTCCTAAGAACTGGCCTGCTGAATTAGACCAAGCTAGTGGAGGTGATGGTATTCCAGCTGAGCTATTCAAAGTCTTAGAAGATGATGCTGTTAAAGTTCTGCACTCCATTTGCCAGCAAATTTGGAAAACGCAACAGTGGCCACAGGATTGGAAAAGATCAGTATACATTCCAATCCCAAAGAAGGGCAATGCCAAGGAATGTTCAAACTATCGCACAATTGCACTCATATCACACGCTAGCAAGGTCATGCTCAAGATCCTACAAGCTAGGCTTCAACAGTACGCGGATAGAGAACTATCAGAAGTACAAGCTGGGTTCCGAAGAGGTAGAGGAACTAGAGATCAAATTGCCAACATTCGCTGGATTTTGGAGAAAGCAAGAGAGTACCAGAAAAATATCTACTTCTGCTTCATTGACTATGCTAAAGCCTTTGACTGTGTGGATCACAACAAACTATGGCAGGTCCTTAAAGAGATGGGAGTACCAGACCACCTCACATGTCTCTTGAGAAACCTGTATAAGGGCCAAGAAGCGACAGTTAGAACCGGATATGGAACAACTGATTGGTTCAGCATAGGAAAAGGAGTACGACAAGGATGTATATTGTCACCTTGCTTATTTAATATATATGCAGAGTACATCATGCGAAATGCTGGCCTGGATGAATCACAAGCGGGAATTAAGATTGCTGGGGAAAAGATCAACAACCTCAGATATGCAGACGATACCACTCTAATGGCAGAAAGTGAAGAGGACCTAAAGAGCCTCTTGCTCAGGGTAAAAGAGGAGAGCGCAAAAGTGGGCTTGAAGCTCAACATCAAAAAAACTAAGATCATGGCATCCGGCCCCATCACTCCTTGGCAAATAGAAGGGGAAGCTGTGGAAGTAGTGACAGACTTCACGTTCCTGGGATCCCAGATCACCGCAGACTGTGACTGCAGCCATGAAATTAAAAGACGCCTGCTCCTTGGGAGGAAAGCGATGGCGAACCTAAACAGCATGATAAAAAGTAGAGACATCACCCTGCCAACAAAAGTCTGCATGGTCCAAGCAATGGTATTCCCAGTAGTCATGTATGGCTGCGAGAGTTGGACTATAAGGAAGGCCGAGCGCCGAAGAATAGATTCTTTTGAACTATGGTGCTGGAGAAGACTCTTGAGAGTTCCTTGGACTGCAAGGAGATCAAATCAGTCAATCCTCAAAGAAATCAACCCTGACTGTTCCCTGGAAGGCCAGATAATGAAACTGAAGCTCAAATACTTTGGCCACCAAATGAGAAGGGAGCACTCACTGGAGAAGACCCTGATGCTTGGAAAGATTGAAGGTCAAAGAAGACGGGGACGGCAAAGGATGAGATGGTTAGACAGTGTCATCGATGCAACGAACATGAAGTTGAGCCAACTTCAGAGGACGGCGGAAGACCGGAAGGCCTGGCGAGAGTTCGTCCATGGGGTCGCGAAGAGTCGGACTCGACTGTGCGACTGAACAACAACAACATATCCAGTCTAGCATCCTGGTTCCAACAGTGACAAGCCAAATACCTCTAGGACAGGGGTGACCAAACTGTGGCTCGAGAGCCACATGCGGCTCTTTCACACAGAATGTGCGGCTTCTGGCAGGGAGGCTGGGGGAAAGCTAAATGTCATTAGCAAACAAATATCATTGGACAAATAAATATTATTATCAATATCTGCTTTTACTGCTTTTGTTATTGTTTCTGGCAGTCTCGTTTAATGTTAACATAAGAACATAAGAGACGCCAATGTTGGATCAAGCCAAAGGCCCATCCAGTCCAACACTCTGTGTCACACAGTGGCCAGAAATACCAGTGCCATCAGGAGGTCCACCAGTGGGGCCAGGACATTAGAAGCCCTCCCACTGTTGACCCCCCCCCCGAAGCACCAAGATGACAGAGCATCACTTGCCCCAGAGTCCCTATCTATACCTTGTGGCTAATAGCCACTGATGGACCTCTGCTCCATATGCTTATCTAATTCCCTTTTGAAGCCGTCCATGCTTGTATCCTGTGGCAGTGAATTCCATGTGTGAATCACTCTTTGGGTGAAGAAGTACTTCCTTTTATCCGTTCTAATCCGTTCGAATAAAAAGCAAATCTGCATATTTCCCAGTAAAAACTGGGACCTTTGTTCATGTCTTGTGGCTCTCAAACATCTGACGTTTATTCTATTCGGCTCTTATGTTAAGCGAGTTCGGCCACCCCTGCTCTAGGAAGTCCACAAATGGAGCATGATCGCCACATCCCTTCTATGCATGTCTGTTCTTCACCATCTGACACTGAGAGAGAGTCTGTCTTTTTGGAGGAGATAGACGCATCCTTCTCAGATTAGTCCGCAGTCTCTTTTCAAAGCCTTCTATAAGTATGCGGCTGGGGCACAATGAGTTCCGCAAACTAACAATGTGGCATGAAAAACTACTTTCTTCTGTGTGCGCTGAAGCAAATGGCCATTGTCGTGCCTTAGTGGCAGTCAGTTCCGTGAGCCAACTGTGCAAAGTGTGAAGAAGTACTTCCTTTTGTCCACTGGGACGACCCTTTGGGTTGGATCCAGACAACTTTTCTGCTGGTGTAAAAGCAAGGAGGGATCGCCTTTGACCAACCAAAACAGATGTGTTGGGAATCATGGGAACTATAGTACAAGGGGCCATGTGCAACAGGGGCCGTAGTGGGGAGGGGAACTGGGTGAGATTGGGTGAAAAAGCTGGGTGGATCTAAGACCATGTTTCCCTCTCTGTTAGCCCCAGCCACAGGGATGGGGAATGGGGAAATTGACGGCACATCTGAGTGCACTTACAACACCTACTCTCTGTACCCTCCACAGTGAGCTACCCCCCACCGCCTCTGCCCCCCGCCATTTGCCCTCCCGACCACCATGGCTCCATGCTCGTCGTCTGCTACCCATCCAAGGAATCGATCCTGAGCCTGACCCCGCGAGGAAGCAGCGCTGTGATGCGCCTCACCACCGTCTTTGCACTTTTCACCGTGGTCCTGGTTTACCTCGTCACCGGGGCCTTCATCTTCCGCCAGCTAGAGCAGCCCAATGAGGTCTACCAACAGGTGAAGCTCAATGCCTACCGGGAGGAGTTCTTGAAAGTGCACCGGGAACAGTTCTTGAAGCAGCACCAGTGCGTGAGCCCCGACAAACTGGCTGACCTCATTCAGGTGAGAGGGAAGTAGCCGTAGGGGCTGGATGGAAAGGCCGAGGATAAGATGGGGACGTGGGGGCACGGGTAAGAAGACTGAGCAGGCAACCAGGTACAGGCAGGGCTATTTTGGGGCAGGAACGCACAGGAACAGAGTTCCGGCTGGCTCCCAAGTTGGCCACGCCCAGCAGGAACTCATTAGCATAATAGGCCACACCCAATAGCAGAACCTCATTAGGATTGGCTACATTAGGGGTGTGTGGCCTAACATGCAAAGGAGTTTAAAAAGCCCTGGGTTTTGACAACAAACAAGGTAAACAGAATAAGAAGGGAAAGGTGGGTGTGTCTGGATGACCACACTTCTGGTAACATGGGGGTGTGGCCTAATGAGCGGTGCTGTCAGGGTGTGGCCTAATATGCTAATTAGTTCTTGCTGTTGGGTGTGACCTATTATGCTAATGAGTTCCTGCTGGGCTTTTTCTACAAAAAGAGTCCTGGGTAAGGTGGGGGGGAAATCAAATTGGGTAGGAGAGGGATAGGAGATGGAATCGTGATGCGCACAACCAGGATAAAACTCCCTGCTCCAAAAGGTGTGATGCCTTAAGGCGGGTGGGTTAAGACAGATTCATGGAGGTTAGATCCATCAGTGCACAACAGCCTGAACAGAGCCTCCATGTCCAGAGGCAGTATATCTGTGAATGCCAGTTGCTGAAGGAACAATGAGAAGAGGCTTTAGGCTCTGCATCTGGCTTGTAGGCCTAGTTAGGAGTCCAAACAATGAATAAAACAAACAAGGTCTGTTGGTGGAGATGTGTGGAACTACTTCCCAGTTATCACCTGGCCCGGAAATTGCTACGCCCCCTTGTTTCCCCCTACTCACACATATCTTTTTTCACTCTGAGAGGGAAAGGAGAAATGATTTATAGTTGCCTAGCAGCTTGGTGTAGTGGTTAAGAGCGGCAGCCTCTAATCGGAAGAACTGGGTTTGATTCCGCACTCCTCCACATGCAGCCAGCTGGGCGACCTTGGGTCAGTCACAACTCTCTCAGAGCTCTCTCAGCCCCACCTCCCTCACAGGGTGTCTGTTGTGGGGAGAGGAAGGGAAGGTGATTGTAAGCTGCTTTGAGACTCCTTCAGGTAGTGAAGGGGGGGTATAAAACCAACTCCTTTTCCTCCTCTCTAGATGTGAGTGCCTCCCCTCCAAATTTTGACAGATGAAAATTGGGGTATGGCTCTAAGCCCCAAATTCTTTTTTTTTAAGCTTACCCCCCAAGGGGGGGATTTTTTTATTTGCATTTCTATAAAACCACAACAGAAATTGGGGAGGGAAAATCTACAATCTATAGGAAAAAGTAAAGAAAACCTAACTAAAAACCCAAGAATGGAGGTTATACAATGCTTAAAACATAGTTCTTACTCTTATACATTTGCTTTCAAACATGAAGAGTGCCCGCCAATTATCGCTTCCGCCCCAAATTCTCATATTAAGGATCGCTGCTTGAGCTCCCACTCGCACACACACAATTATCCATTTCTGAAACCTTCCTTTTGCCTTCTGGATTCATTTTCTCTGTAACTGCCTCCCTTTCGCCTATTTAGACTCGTAGGGTGGCATTATTCTTTGGAGTTATAAATATACCTGTCCTAAAAGATTACCAAGCATTCAAAATGTATCTCTGAAGTGGCAGTGTATTGAAGCCGCAAGCTGTGCACGGTGGGAAACTTCAGAACTCACGCACAATGCAATGACACAAGAGATGAGGATGATGCATACGATCCCTGCTCCGAGGTTTCACGTTGGGGGATCCTGAATTTGGAGCATTAACCCTGCAGGGTAACTCCAGCAGCTCACACAAACAACAGTGGAACCAGGGCATCTTGCCCCCAAACAAAAGTCAGGAATGTGATTGATCAGGAACAGGGGCCAAGAAAGAGGAATTATCCCTGGTCATTTGGGGGAGTTGGAGGAGGTAAACAAGGCTGACTACACAATACACTGAAGACCGTTTCCAAGGGTAGCCAGCCATGTCAGTCTGCAGCAGAAGAGGGAGATCTGAGTCGAGTAACACTTTAGAGACCAACAAGCAGGGCTGTTTTTGGGCAGGAATGCACAGGAACGGAGTTCCGGCTGGCTCCTGAGATGGCCACACCCAGCAGGAGCTCATTAGCATAATAGGCCACACCCAACACCAGAAACTCATTCGGATTGGCCACATTAGGGGTGTGTGGCCTAACATGCAAAGGAGTTCCTGCTACAAAAAAAGCCCTGGGTTTTGACAACAAACAAGGTAAACAGAATAAGGAGCAAAAGGTGGGTGTGGCTGGATGACCACACTTCTGGTAACATGGGGTTGTGGCCTAATATGCTAATGAGCTGTGCTATCAGGGGTGTGGCCTAATATGCTGATGAGTTTCTGCCATTGGGTGTGACCTATTATGCTAATGAGTTCCTGCTGGGCTTTTTCTACAAAAAAAACCCCCTGCCAACAAGATTTTGGGGGTATAAGGTTTGGATAGGGTTGCCACTAGCTCTGGGTTGGGAAACACCTGGAGATTTTGGGGGTGGACTCCGGGGAAGGACCTCAGCAGGATAGAATGCCAGGGAGTCCACCCTCCAACGCAGCCCTTTTCTCCAGGGGAACTGATCTTGGTCGCCTGGAGATCAGTTGTAATAGCAGGAGATCTCCAGGTGCCACCTGGAGGTGGGCAACTAGCTTTGGAGATTCAAAGCTCTCTTGAGGACCTTCACTCTCCAAAGCTTATAACCCAAAACTCTTGTTGGTCTCTAAAGTGCTACTGGACTTGAATTTAGCTATTTGTACAAAACGCTGACTATGCTACATTAGCTACCAAATGAAAAGGGGCCATGGCTGAGTGGCAGAGCATCTGATTTGCATGTGGAAGGTCCCGGGTTCGATCCCTGGCATCTCCAACTAGAATGGACAAAAGGAAATACTTCTTTACACAGAGAGGGATAAAAAATGTGGAATTAGCTGCCCGAGTCAAAGTCAAATACCTTTTATTGGCATACAATATTAAAAGTAAACATTTCCCAGTATTAATACAATCCAGTAGAGATTATAAATAGATAATCATGGTAAACCATTCCAAGGATATGTCAGGGCTATAACATACCTCAAGTTGTCACAAGATAGATTTGACCATACAGAAGATAGCTGAGTCATACAATAAACTGAAATCTAAACTTTTAAACTTAAGTTTTTAAAATTATAAATTAAGAATCATTAATATGCTCAGAGTCATTCTTCCGTTTTATAAAACCATGAAGAAACTTAGCGGTCAGTTCAATGATCTCCGTGTCTCGTGAAGCAAGGAGATAATGTACCTTGTTTCTATCCGGTTGGCCTACTACCAACCTAAGGGGGGCTTCTATAAATTCCACTCGAATGTCATTTAACAATTTACAGTGTAAGAGTACGTGCTCAACCGTTTCTATTTCTCTTCTATTACGTCCACATAACCTGACTGAATAAGGAATTTTCTTATATCTCCCCTCAAGAATAGCAGAGGGGAGAACGTTAAAACGGGCCAACAAATAAGCTCTACACATTTGCGGTGAGAAAAAGTAATATGGTAAAACACCAGAAAGGGGATAGGCCCATCTTACTGAGGAGCACCTTCTGGAGGCAACGGCTCTGAGCTCTTGCAGCTCTATATCAATAAGCCTCTGCTTAAGCAAGGTAAGGACCTCAAACTCTGGCCGGGTGACATGTGGAATTGGCTGCCAGAGGATGTAGTGATGGCCACAGGAATAAACGGCTTTAAAAGGGGATAGATTCATGGAGGAGAAGGCTGTCAATGGCAACTAGCCATGGTGACTGAGGGGAACCTCCCCATTCAGAGCCTCTGAATCCCAGAGTGAGGAGGCAACATGGGGGGAAGGCCTTGGCCTCTATGCCCTGTGGCTGGACCTCCAGAAGAACTGGTTGGCCACTGTGTGAGACGGGATGGTGGACTAGATGGACCCTCACTGGTCTGATCCAGCAGGGCTTTCCTTATGCTCTTAATGGTCAAGCAGGCGGTGATGTGAAAGACCTCCACCTGAAAGCACGACCTCAGCCAACAGGGGGGGCGGGTTCCCCAGGCTCAATGGAGCAGTGGAAGCTAAAATTGGGGTGGGAATCAGCATCATGTGATGCCATGATGTCACTTCCTTATATGCAGGGGTCATTTCGTAGAAAAAGAGGTGCAGGAACTCATTAGCATAACTCATTACCATAACTTATTTGCATATGCCACACCCCCTGACATCACCAGAAGTGTGTCAGAAGGCAACACCCACCACTCAGGCTCCATTGGACTCTTTTGGATTGCTAGCTATTGGGGGAGGGGGAACGTGCAGATCTGTCCTCGCAGAGGAGGGAGAGCTTGTACCTGAATAAACCTTGGTCTTTAAGGTGCCACTGGACTGTTTTGGACCGGGGGGGGGGGCTCTGCAACTTACCTGGCTGCTTCTTGCTCTGACTGAGGGCTGCTGGGAGCAGGGGGTGGGGCTTATTGCATGTGCCTGCCCCCTGGGCTCTATACTGCCGGAGCTCCGCTCCTGCGCGCTCCGGCAGGAAATGACCCCTGCTGATATGTATCCGGAAGTGGTTATATGGGCATCATGCAACAGTGATTTCTGTATTCCCTGCCCCCCATGGGTTGCCAGCTCCAGCCTGGAATATTTCTGGAGATTAGGGGGTGGAGCCAGGGGCAGGTGAACTTTGGGGAGTATGATTCTATAGAGTCAACCGGCTGCTATAATCCCAAATAGTTAGGATTGGTCTGAAATTTAATGAAGGGGGAGTGAGCACTGGGAAAGGAAGTTGGGTCTTTTGTTTGGGGTGCCGATCCTCTAAATGTTGGCGCTACTCTCTCCTCTGCCCTTCCTCCTAGCAAGTAAGCGAGGCCATATTAGCCGGCGTGGATCTTTCCAACAACAGCACCAACACGACCAGCTCGAACTGGGACATGGGCAGCGCCTTCTTCTTTGCTGGAACCGTCATCACCACCATAGGTATCGGGATCGGGAGGGAAGTGAGGGGGAGAAGCCGTTGGGGCAGGAAAGGTGCTTGTCTGTGGTTCCAAAATTTAGGATTTTGCAATTCAGGAGCCAACTGGCCACCGCCCAGGGAGTGCTGGGGATGAGAACGATGGATTTTACAGCCCAGGATAGGGAAAACGATCTAGTTAAGTCTTGCTCATGCCTGCAAGATTGGGAACTACAAGCAGGTAGGGGTTTGCAGTACAAAGAAGCTAGAAGAAATAGAACTACTGCAGCAACTTACCCTCCCTCTTCTCCTGCCTCCTCCTGGCCACCGGAAATGCAATCAGACGCCCACCCTTTCCCCGCGGCTTCCGGAAACTAGTACCTCAGAGGTACTAGTTTTTTACCCTGCATCTTCGGCGGGAAGCCTCAGGTTCGCCACGGGAGCTCTACGCTTCCCAGATGTGGCGCTGTGATCACGCCCGGAAAATCCGCCTATCTTCCATCTCTGTAGCGTGGCTAATGCTCCGTGTGACCACAGCCTTACATACTCAAGGAAATGCTGATCACCACTTTGGGGTCATGAAGTAATTTTTCTCCAGGCCAGTTGTGCTGGAGATTTGTCATCTTCTGGGCATGGGACAGGGGTCACTGGGGGTGTGTGGAGGGGGAGGTATTTGTGAATTTCCTGCATTGTGCAGGGGGTTGGACTAGATGACCTTGGAGGTCCCTTCCAACTCTTATGATTCTATGAAACCAGAGGATGGCCCTGAGAGGGTATACCCTCCAGATCAGTGGTTCTTGAACTTGGACTATTTTCCCTCTGTCTTCTGAGTTTTTGCAAGAGATTGCCCTAATATTTTCCAATTCAGTCTTGTAACCCCTAGGACTAGAAACTTTTCCCCCCAAAGTAGTGAGAGATTTGCAGGATGCTAAGTTTAGTACCCAATATATTCCCTGCACTTAAACAGTACTGTCACAGAACATGCACACTCACCCTTCTTCTACTGTGAAGCCCATCTGCTCCTGATTCAACAGACCTTTGTGTTCCAAAAGGGTGCTTAGCCAGGAAATGGGGTGAAACCTGTCCAATTACGGTAGCTCTGCCTCTTGCTCTGGGCTCTCTCCACCCTATAGGTTTTGGGAACAACTCACCCCAAACTGACGCTGGCCGGCTCTTCTGCATCTTCTATGCCTTGGTGGGGATTCCTCTTTTTGGGATGCTCCTGGCTGGAGTTGGGGACCATCTGGGATCATCTCTACGGAAGGGCATCGGCAAAGTGGAGGATATTTTCTTGGTGAGTTGCTCCACTTACCCTGCCTTCGCCTGGGCCCCCTTTCCACAGCTGCATTTCCAGAATCTGTGACATGCAGCCACTACCAAAACATTGGTCTTTGTGGTGTTCGTCAGCACGACACTAGGCACGCCCTCCGCTAATCAACAGTCCCAGTGTGGAAGTTACAGCTCTCATATGGACCATCCCAGAGGTCGATTCGGGGGGGATCGCGGGGGATCGCTGTTCCCCCAGGTGAGGGGCAGGGGGCGGGGCACACGGCGAAGCCCCACCCCCTGCTTCCAGCCGCCCCGCTTCCGGCCCTTATTCAGCCAGGAGGAGGCAGGAGAAGAGGGAGGGTAAGTTGCTTCCTCCCCGCCTCTCACCACCCCTGCCTGCCTGGGGCCAGGGAGGGCCTTCGCGGGGCTTCCTCACACTCCCGCCGGCCTGGCAGGTCCACTGCCGGGCCCCTGATAGGGGTTGGCAGTGGAGCCGCAAGGCCGGTGCCGGCGGCCGAGACCGTTGGGGGCGGGGGGCCTTCGCGGGGCTTCCTCGCACTCCCGCCGGCCTTGCAGGTCCACCGCCGGGCCCCTCATTACGGTGGAGCTGCAAGGCCGCCGGCGGCCGGGACCGTTGGGGGCGGGGGGGGCTTGGCAGGGCTTCTCCGCGCTCCCGCTGGCCTCGCAGCTCCACCGCCGAGCTCGACAGGGGCTCGGCGAGAGCTGAAACCAGGGCGGTCACCAGAATTGATGGGGGGAGGGAGGGAAAACAAAGTATAAATGCCAGGATTTTCTGTGTGTTTTCCGTAGCAATGTGGTCATCTGCCCCCATGCTTGGTTTATAGCTGTTTTGGTTTATGGCTGGGCTTGGTTTATAGCTGTTTTTTCTCCCTGGAATCTCTCCTTTTTACCTGACATGGATGGTTTGCTTGTTTTCCCCCACATGTGCCATCAGATAAGCTCGTCCGCTCTGAGTTGGCAATACCTTGCAGATTTTGGGGGTGGAGCCTGAGTGGTGGGTTTAGATTCAGAGGAATTAGCTGTGTTAGTCTGTTGCTGCAAAATAGTCCAAGAGTTCAAATAGCACCTTTAAGACTAACAAATAGCACCTTTAAGACTAACCTTTAAGACTAAGACTAACTGAGTGGTGGGTGTGGCCTTATGACACACTTCCGGTGATGGCAGGGGGTGTGGCATATGCTAATGAGTTATGCTAATGAGTTCCCCTAGCTCTTTTTCTACGAAACGACCCCTAGACCATCCTGCTGCAAGATGAAGAAAACCATTATCTTGGTGGTAGAAAGTGCTGTCAAGTTGCATCCGACTTGCATCCATTGGATTTTCAAGGCCAGAGATGAACAGAGGTAGTCTGCCACGGTCGCCTCTGTATAGTGACCCTTGCCGGTGTCCCATCCAAATACTAACCAGGGCTGACCGTTTCGAGATCCAACCATTTTGGAACAACATCCAACATTATTTTAGGTGGCTTTAAAAAAAAAAGATTGGATCATTTTCTGGAAAAGGAGAGGTTTAGTGGTGCTTTATTAGCTAAATGGAGCCGCCTTGTCTAGGCGCAGTATATCTGTGGATGCCAAGCGCCCAGAATGGAGGAGGGCTATTGTCACCTTGCCCAGACTTCCCAGAAATATTGAGCTGCCCACAGTTGAGTGGGATTGGACAACTCTTTGGCAGAAGTCCCATGTTCTTGTGGGAGTTGACTGCCTTCTGGGTGTGCTGTGTGCCTTTCGAGCATTGCCTTTGTTCCATTCTCTCCTTGCACAGAAATGGCAAGTCAGTCCTACCGTCGTGAGGATCCTGTCGGCGCTGCTCTTCATTCTCATTGGCTGCCTCCTCTTTGTGTCTCTGCCCACTGTTATCTTCCAGCATCTGGAGCACTGGACCCTCCTTGAGAGTGTTTACTTTGTGGTCATCACGCTGACCACCATTGGATTTGGCGATTATGTGGCAGGTGGGTGCCGTGAGAAGTAGCATGAACACATGTGAAGCTGCCTGACACTGAATCAAACGGAGCTTCCAAGTTTCTTTCTTCAATGATACAAGTTTATTTCTCCATTTCTGCAATATGAAACAATTTAATAATAATTTCATCTTTAGAGGGAATATTATTCTTCTTCCATCTTTTGGCAAATACAATTCTTGCTGCTGTTAAGATCTGCATAATTAAATATATATCTTTTTTCTTATATGTATACTAACCGATCACTTTCAAGCAAGCTCCCTGAGCGGGAACATCCGTGATTGGTCCTTATGTGAACAACCTTATTGGTTGATATTTGTACAGTGGGTGTGGCTACATTAGCGGGAATGTTTAAAAGCAGGACAGCTGCAATGTAAAAGCTGTTCTGGTTATCAGGTGTTGATCTCTGTTGGAGTTATGTTCGAGTTGAAGAATAAAGTTGTGTTCTTGCACTGCCCTACAGGGACGAAGACAGGGGAAGTGAGTGAGAAGGAAGGGCCCTAGCACAGCCCACCCCTTATTCATCCTCTTTGGGAAGGAGCTGTGGTTCAGTGGTAGAACCTCTGCTTGGCATGCAGAAGGTCCCAGGTTCAATCCCTGGCATCTCCAGTTAAAGGATTTGGTAGTAGGTGATGTGAAAGACCTCTACCTGAGAGCTTGAAGAGCTGCTGCCAGTCTGAGTAGGCATTACATTAAGTTTGTCTGTGCCTCTCTCTCCAGTTCTTCCCCCTCTCTATGGTTCCCTGCTCCTTAATGCTACAGAAACCACCGGTGGTTGGAGGAGGGAACGGCAGGTAATTTAAGCCACTGATCTAGCATTAGTAAAGGTAAAGGTTTCCCTTGCTTGAAAGCCAGTCGAATCCGACTCTAGGGATGATCATCTAGGGGTGCTCATCTCCATTTCCAAGCCAAAGAGTCCAAGGACATTTCCGTGATCATGTGCCCGGCATGACTAGACACTGAGGCACACGGAACGCTGTTACCTTCCCACCAAAGTGGTACATATTTATCTACTTGCAATTTCTTGCTTTTGAACTGCTAGGTTGGCAGGAGCTGGGAGCAGAGACGGGAGCTCACTCCGTCATGCAGCACTCGGGTCTCAAACTGCTGATCTACCAACCTTCTGGTCTGCAGTTCAGCGTCTTAACCACTTGAGCCACCGCAGGTCCCATGATTTAGCACTATAGCCCCACAAATCCTCCTGGTCTTGGGAACCAACTGATTACAGAGAACCAGTCCTGCTCCACTGCTTGCTATAAAGTTCCCAGATCTGCTTTTAGCTCCCACAGTATGGGGAACTTTGCCTCTTTGTGTCTCTTGTGTATGTGCAAAATTCTTGAATGGATTATTCTGAACCCTTAACAGGGCCCTAGATGGCTGGTTTGCATTCATTAGTCTGAATTTCTTGGGAGAAGGACAGAATAAAATTGTACTGCAGCCCTAACCTGGATAGCCCAGGCAAGCCCGATTTCATCAGATCTCGGAAGCTAAGCGGGGCTGACCCTGCCAAGTATTTGGATGGGAGACCTCCAAAAGATACCAGGGTTGGGAGGCAGAGGGAAGCTATCAAGCCGCTTCTCTGAATGTCCTCCATGCCCAGTAGGAGTCGCCAGAGGTTGCCATGACTTCTAGGCACAGACACACACACACACGCACACAAATGCAAAAATACAAAAAACAAATGCAAAAATACAAAAAAAAATGTACTAGATAGATAGACATTTAAGCTTAGAGAGGTGACTGGCCCAAGTAGGGTTTCCAGGTCCCTACGTCTGCCGGCAGGGGGACTGAGTATCCTGTCTGTGACCTTATGGCACACGGGCTATGCGCGTGTGCCGCAATTACATCACCTGGAAGTGACATCATCGCGCTAGGCACGTCGCCAAGGGGACGCTCTAGCATTTGGCCAGAAACTCTATGGTAACACAGAGTTTTTAAGCCGAGTGCTAGAACATCCCCCGGCAATGTGCCCGGTGCAATTCCAGCACTTTGGGGGCGAGGTTCCCCCCGCCAGCCAGATCTGGGCCAGTGGATCAGGGGCCCAGAAAGCGGGCAAACCCCCTCCCCCGCCGGGGGAAATGCAAGCCTAGGCCCAAGGTCACAGAGTTTCGTGGCTGTGTGGATTTCGTGTGTGTATCTCTCTGTCTTTGTTAGACACTCTAACTGCTCAACTGGGCTGGCTACTATGGGTCAGGTTTCTAGGGTTCCAGAATTACAACTCGTCTCTAGACCCCTGGAGAAAATGGCTGCTTTGGAGGGCAGACTTCATAACATCCCATCCTCACTGATCCCCCTCCCTTCCCCAAACTCCACCCTCCCCGGGATCTGCCCCCAAACCTCCAGGAATTGCCCAACCTGGAGTTGGCAGCCCTAGGTTCAAGGCAGAATTGGGGAGTTGAACGGCATCAGTCTCAGCTTTTCTGTCAACCTCTCCCCTTTCTTCCTAGGTGATACGTCGGCTGAGGAGTATCCATGGTACAAACCGTTGGTGTGGTTCTGGATCCTGCTTGGTTTGGCCTATTTTGCCTCCATACTGACCATGATTGGCAACTGGTTGAGGGTGTTGTCCCGACGCACAAGAGCTGAGGTGAGGCATGTATGAAGCCCTGTGCCTTGTGAGCCCCTTGTTTACACTCCCCTGTTATTCCTTTAGCACGTTACCCCCTCATATTATAGCAGTGTAGATGACAAACTATCTCTTGCTGGTGCTGTTATCTGTGGCATTGTGGAGAGAGCCAATGTGTGGTAACGGTTAGAGTATCTGACTACGACTGTGGAGACCTGGATCCGAATCCCCACTCAGCTGTGAAGTTCTCTAGGTGACCTTGAAAGAGGGTTGCTAGCCCCCTTATCTGGGGAGGGGTTCCCCCATTTTTGTGGGCTCCTCCCCACGGCCGGCCAGGTGGCTGGTGAGGGGAAACCCCACCCACAAATACCCACAAACACGGTGTGATGATGTCACCCAGAATTGACATCATTGCACTGCCGATGTCACACAGCAGGGCTCTAGTTTTTGGGCAAAACTCTATGGTAAAATCGGGGCTCAAACCATAGAGTTTTGCCTGAAAACCAGAGCATCGCCATGCGACATTGGCAGTGTGATGACATCACGTCTGGGTGACATCATCACACCGCGCAAGCAAAGTGCACACGGTAAAAGCTCCTGGAAAGGCCCAACAATCCCCTCACTGGCAGACAGGTAGGACCTGGGAACCCTACCTTGAAGTGGTCACCTTCTCTTAGCCTTATCTGGGTTGTTGGGAGAATAAAAAGAAGGAGGGGAATAGGATCAGAGAGGATAAAATCAGTGATTTGCCCCCCCTTCCTGTTTTAGAAGAAGAAGAAGAGATTGGATTTATACCCCACCCTTCACTTGGAGTCTCAGAGCGGCTTACAAACTCCTTTCCCTTCCCCTCCCCACAACAGACACCCTGTGAGGTGGGTGGGGCTGAGAGAACTCTGACACAAACTGCTCTTTTTCAAGGACAGCTGTGCCAGAGCTTGTGACTGACCCAAGGTCACATCAGCAGGTGCAAGTGGAGGAGTGGGGAATCAAACCCAGTTCTCCCAGATTAGAGTCCGCACACTTAACCACTATACCACTGGCCGTGGCCCATCAGAACAAAACAATTGAACTTTCATATAATACTATACTGTGTGGGTGCGTTCAGATGCGCCGTTTGATCTGTTGTTGTGACAGTTCAGCAACGGATTTTATCTGCACGATCACACAGTCAACATCTGCCTCCTGTCCCCAGCTGTTGGTTTCCGGCTCAAAACCCCTTTAACCTGGAGTATTTTGTTACCAGGTCCCAAAGTGGTGTTTTCTCAGCTCTCCCGTTTAAAGCCACAGTTTCCCTGTGTGATCGCTCCTCTGGTGTCAAGTCACTTCCGATGAAACACCCTCCCCGCTTGGAAGCCCGAGGCTTCCGCTTTTCGGCCGCCTTTTTCTTTTTGTGCGTCGGCGGTATGCGCATAAGCGGAACGCCGCTCCCGTGTTTTTAAAACCAACGGTCACTAGTTTTGAGTTCGGGATCCCAAAGTGGCCAGTTTCGGGTGAACAGTTCTGCCCAAGCGGTGAAATCACGGTGCTCTGTGGAACTGTCAAACGAAATCCGTGATTTGCCCTAGTGGCTCTGCGCATGCGTGAGGATAAAGTTTTTCAATTCCACGGATGAACACTTATGTGCATGCGCAAACTGAGAAAAAAAACCCCAAAACCCGACACACGCTCTCGTGTGATCGCGATTGTCCAGAGTAAAAATAATCGCATCAGAACCGGACCAGTTTAAACCGCTCTCAGCACGCCCTCTGAATGCACCCTGTATGTGTTATGTGCCATCCAGTACCTTTGGACTTATGGTGACCCTATGAATTAATTACCCCCAAATGTCCTGTGGTTAGCAGCCTTGCTCAGGCCTTCCAAACTGAGAGCCGTGGCTTTGTTGATTGAGACAATCCATATAATGTTGGGTCTTCTTCCTGGTTTCCTACTGCCTCCAACTTTCCCTGGCATTATGGTCTTTTCTAGCGAGTCTCGTCTTCTCACAGTGTGAGCAAAGTACAATAGCCTCAGTTCGGTCATTTTAACTTCTAGGGAGAGTTCAAACTTCATACAGAACCCATTCATTTGTCTTTTTGGCGGTTCATGGTATCCATAAAACTCTCCTCCGACACCACGTTTCAAATTTAATTCAATTAATTTATTTAACTCATTTGCACCCTGCTTTTCTCCCCAATGGGACCCAGAGCGGCTTACATTGTTCTCCTCTCCTCCACTTTATCCTCACAACTTCCCTGTGCGGTGGGTTAGGCTGAGAGAGTGTGACTGACCCAAGGTCACCCAGCGAGCTTCCATGGCATGAGTGGGGATTTGGATGACTCAAATGAGTAATACGCTACACCAGGATTTTGGTGGGTTTAAAAAAAAAAAAAAGAGGTGCTGGAACTCACAAGAGGGAAATGAAGTTTTCAGTCTGTATACCGAAAACTCATGAACTTTTAAACCTTTTAAAAAGAATTTTGTTGAAGAGGTTCCGGTACTCAGTCCCAGCACGTTCCCCCAGAAAAGAAGCCCTGCAGTACACTATGAAAATCCCTTGCAGCCAGAGAAAAATTGGTTAAGGTTTACCCAAACCACAATGTTCTGGCAGTAATAAACCCTTATCACCCTTTCCATCATATGCTGCTACTTCTTTACTCAACTATGCCACTCGTAAAATCTAATATTGCTTGGATATGACTTGAAGGGCGCCATCTGGAGGTCTTGAATTTCGGAGACTGGGTGCAAGGAAAAAGCCAAGCCTTGAGTTCTCCACAGTAGCTTAATCTGCAGGTGAAATTTTCTCCAACACTCAGACAAACGTGGGTTACCTAGCCTGGATTGCTTTGTGCTTTTCCCAGCTGCTTACTCTGAAGGTGAAGTTTTTCATGGTACAACTAGGGTTTTTTTTAACCTTATCACTTGTCTGGTGTCATGGGGTACCAACCTCAAGGTGAGGCCTGGAGACCTCCCAGGATCACCACTGATCTCCAGAGATCAGTTTCCCTGGAGGAAATAGCGTCTTCAAAGGGCAGACTGTATGGTGTACCATAGAGTCTAGGAGAAATGGAAGTCCTAGAGTCATATTCCAAGCTGAGCTCCCTCTCCTCCCTAAACTTTACGGGCCGTCCTCAGCCAACGCTTCCAAATGTCCAAGAACCCCACCCCCAGGTGGAGTTGGCAACCCTAGCAGCAGATCTAGAGTCTTTTCAAGTCAGAAGAGGAAATGCCAATTGAAGCACAGCAGTTCCTGGGGGTTCTTCGCTCTCTTCCCTAAGGCTGCTAACCTCCAGGTGAGGCCTGGAGCTCTCCCAGAATTACAACTGAACTCCAGACTATAGAGATCAGTTCACTGGGGGGAAAATGGCTGCTTTGGAGGGTGGACTCTCTGGCATTATACCTTGCTGAGGTTTCTCCCCTTCTTCAGACTCTATCATCTCCAGGCCACCCCCAAATCTCCAGGAATTTCCTAGCCTGGAGTTGCCAACCCTGTTTCCTATATATGATGATCTGCAATGAAATACTGGCTAGGACTCTTACATTCCGCTGCTCCCTTTTTGCCACTTAAAAACCAGATGGTATCAATTTTGCACATGAGCTCATTAAGGAATTGGCCTAATTGAAAGCCGTTTTTCTCTCTGACTCTGGGGTGCAGATGAAAGGCAATAAAACGGCTGCAGATGGCAGTGGGCTTTCATTAGTGGGAAAGGAAGGGGGCACTGTGGATTTCCCCAGCAGCCCTGCCCAA